CATTCTAGAATGAAGACAAATTATAACACGAAAACATAAATGTTTAGACTAAATAGCTTAAATCTCATAACATTATAAATTTATTATTTTTATTACATTGACCTTTCAGCCGTGCCTGGCTAACAATACAGAAGTTACAATGATGCGGTTCACGTGCACTCATGTTACCATATCAAATAACATAAAACTGACCTTTGGTTTATACAAAGTAATTTGTCTTGGCTGTGTTTTAGTAGACTAGTACTTTGTAAAATATAGTCACATTTCAATTATTATACATTATATATGTATATAGATTAATACTATTTAGAAATAAGTTCTTAAACTTACTTTTCTTAAAACATAGAACAGTAAAGAGTCAGAGTGTAAGGTGATGTTTATGTGAAGAATAAAATACTTTTGTCCATCATGCAAGTTGCATTTTTATAATTAAAAAAACACCTCTATGCATATCTTAAGTTTTTCAGTATCTGCATACATATCATATCTGGTTATTTTCTCTACTCTACCATGAGCTGTGGTGAAATCAGCAATGTATGGTAACATGAAAAGTTGATAACTCTGATATCCTTTACATAATACCATGTTGAATGGCATTCTATACAAAGTCAAGGCATGCACAAGTTGACCCCTCTCACCTGTGAACACAGGTTTAATGCAAATTTCTTATGTTTTCATGCAAACAAATATGGTTAGTATGCAAACTATCAGTCAGATATTTCTTTCCCACCACCTTATTTTAGCTGTATTTTACAAACTTGACATTAAAAACAAGTTATGCATTTAAAATAAACAAAAGGAAAATCACTCAAGACAGTGCAACAAACCTCCTACAAAGTTTTAACTTTTTGGAGGTAATAAAAATTGCCCAAGTCATTATAAGCCTGTTAGTCCTACATCAGTTGTGGGAAAAGTTTCTGAAAGCCTGATAAAAGATGTCTTACAAAATCATTTAACAATGTTTCACATTTGTTGGGTCTTGCCTTACTAATCTTTTGAGGAAGCTACTGCTTATGTGGATGAGGGTACAGTGTGGATTTAGCTTATACCGATTTTCTGAAAACATTTGACAAGATGCCACATAAAAAATGATCTCTGTAGGGATGGGAGATAAGTTGGCTCTGCAAAGAGAAAAGTGTCTGGTTGGATGAAAGTAGAGGGTTGTTATAAATTGAGTTCAGTCAACCTGGATTAATGTCACAAGTGGGGTACCTTAGAGCTCAGTTTTAGAGCCTTTGTTCCTTTTGATTTACACCAATGACACAGATGAAAAAATTGTCAATAAAGTACTTAAATTTGCTGATGATATTCAGGTTTTGGGTGTTGCTGACAGTGATAAGAATGTTTCTGTTTTATAAAAGGGTTTGGATCATTTGGCAAGTTGAACAAGTAAATTGGAGTTTTTAGTTATAATAAATGCAAGGTAATGCATACGAGATATTATGGCTTGAATAGTAAGTACAATTTTGATGGGAATAATATTAACAGTGTCATGAAAGAAAAAGGTCTTGGTGTTTTGACTGATAAGTCTTTTAAGCCACCCAAGTAATATGCTGTTAAAATGAGAAGGCAAATAGAATTTTATGTTGTTTTTATATTGAATACAAGTCTAAAAAGGTTATAATTTTGACATTTACATCACTGGTTAAGCCTCATATAGAGTACTATGCTCAGCCTTGGGTTCCTTACATTAGAAAAGACATTAAAGTGTTGGAAAGGATTCAGAGAATAGTTACTAGGGTATTACTTGGGATGGAAAGGTTGTCATATGAAGACAGGTTATGATCGCTAAGCTTGTCTTGTTTTCTCTTCAAAAATGAAGAGTTAGAAGGGATCTGATTGAGGTGTTTAAGGAAATGATAGTGTTGATACATCATCTTTTTTCATAATAAATTCTGAGAATGGTACGACTAGAGAATACAAATATAAATATTGGCAGGGTAAGAGTCATCTTCAGTTAAGACCGCTTTATTTTACTAACAGGGTGGTTGGCCTTTGAAATGGGTTACCTTCAGATGAGGTAGATACAATTAATTTAAGGGAAGGCTTGATAAGTTTTTGAATGATAAGGATGAGCTCTGAGTTTTATTTTAAGCTCTAGTTTAGTAAATGAGACAACAGGTCCCTCCTTGTCCTTAGATTTTTATGTTAAAATACATATAACCTTTTAAACACCACTCTTATTCTCCAGTGCTTATGCTTACCTATATAACAGTAGGTGACATGTAAAATTGCAATGGGGAATCTCAAAAACATTTCTCATTGGTTTGTTGTGAACATCTCCCAAACTAACACAAGGGCTGTCTGTGCTAGCTGTCCCTAACTTAGCAGTGGAAGACTAGAGGGAAAGCAGATAGTCATCACCACCCACCATCAACTCATGGGCTACTCTTTTACCAATGGATATTGGGATTGACCATCACATTAGGAGTTTTCTGAGAAAGCTTAAACTTTTCACGGAAGCTTTAAAATGCTAAACAAACATATGCAAGACTGAGGAAGATATTAATCATAGGCATTATGAGAATTGTTTGGGTTCGAATTCCCATCCTATCTAACATGCTCAACCTTTCAGTAAAATGCACATAGGGCAAGAAGTAGAAACTTGTATTACTCTGGCCCTATGTTCACTCCCCGGGAAAATGTAAAAGTAATAAAGATGCTGTTCATCTCAAGTAGTGACATTAACACTTGTACAGATTGATACGAGTTGTGGATTTTCTTTCCTGTATGATATTTGGAATAGCTATTGATGTATACAGTTATGGGTTATGAGAGATACCATACTTGAATCTTTTGTCTGATTTGGAAATGCAATAAATGATACTTTCTGTCCTTTTCCTGTGTACACTTCATTCCAGCAGCTAAAAGAAGTAAAGGAGAGAGCTCTAAGCCAGCTAGTGTGGTAAATATAACAAGCTACACTTATTGTGAATAATTATTTGCTTATTTGTCCAATTGCATCTTTTGCCTTTGCTCTTGATGTTCAGTTTATTCTGTGCTTACTTGTCTTGAATCAGCATTCTTGCATGTATTTGCTAACTACCTGTCAAATATTAGTGTATACCTGAAGCGTATGGAATACTTTGAACTCAGATTTCCTTTTGTTGTCTATATGTTAATCTGTAATAATGAACTTCAAAGGGGATTGGATAAGTATGGGGTGGTACAAAATTTCCTTTCCTATTTTAAAATTTAATAATTAAATAACTATAAAAATACTACCATGCAGTTTTCGACATCTTGTAGCCCAACTCAAACAGTTTTTACTGTCATGTTAGCAGACTACATTAGTGGCTCTCAGCACATCTAATCGCTATTTGATTTCAGTCCATGTTCACTAGAACATGTATACAATTAGTGGCTATAGCATCCATTTTCCTGGTCTTTAGCTCCATGATGTTTGCTATAGCCTAGGTGTGCAATTCCTGATTTTAACATACCCCCAAAGAAGTCTAGTGGAGTGATGTCTGGCATATTCAGAGGCCACAGAAATAGCCCATCCCAACCAATCCATTGCATTGAGCCTTTTCTTTCACAGTTTCTACTTTATGGAGTAACACTCCTCACTGGAGTGAAAAACAAAACAAACATGACAATAGAAACTGTATGAGTTGGGATACAACTTACAAGATGTTGAAAACTGCATGTTTGTATTTCTTTAGTTATTAAGTTTTTAAAACAGGAAAGATAATTCTGGGTTATACTGTAATTTTGCGATCACGAAAAGGAGTTTCTACAAGCTTGCTTAGATTATAGTTTTTTATACTTGTACTGTTGTAGTAGGTTGGAAGTAGCAAATGAGTCAGTCTAAATGGAAACAACTGGCTCCTTGTTATCGTCAGAAATTAAAGTGTATTGTTTCATTGTAACTTACTCATCATGAAGTATGGTTCGCAACAAATACGGGTATTGACATCGGATATAATGTTGAATACAACATTAGACTTCAGTTTCAATTTGCATTGAGATTCAGTATCTCATGCCTCTTTCACTTTCATTTCAGTTAGTTACTTAAATTTTAAAAAAAAAGTAAATTCGATATGATGAAGTCATTGAAATTCACTCACATGTATTTACCTAAATAATTAGCTATAAATATAATTTTGACTTGCTAACTAGCACCAACGTATTTTCATTCCAATTTCATTTTAATCATCACTAGAACGTCAACAATGGTGTGGCAATAACATTGGCACCATATCAAGATTGGCTTGCTGCCTGGTTCGCCAGTTTTCCTGAATGATGGGTAGAATCATTCAATAAAAATAAACAAATTAAAAGGGAATAAGATGATATAGTGTTCAAAAATTCTTACCCTAATTCTGGTGTGTTGTAAAATAAATAAAACTAATGAAAATTAAACTTAACCAACACAATAAGCCAAGACCAGCTCATTACTCCCAAATTGCGTCATCTCAATCACTGGGACTATCTATAAAACGGAATTTTTATTTCCGTAGAAATAAAGTATTTTGTTATGGAAGATTTTCTTTTTTAAGAAAATTAAAAGGTAATTTTTAAATCAGCATGACATTACCTACATTAAGAAATGGTCGTGTTTTACTAATATTAAGGAAACCAAAAATTTATTATAAATATAATGCAAATATATACATATTTATTCAGAATGTTTTTGAAATTACACAGCGCAACCATTACCAAAGCCTTGATAGAAGAAGACTACCATTGCTTTACATCATATTCGTTACTTCTATTTCAGAAGTACCATCAACATGTATTGAACAGCAAGTAAGCAAAGCGATTATGCAAAAATCATTGAAATTATGCCCTCAAAAATAATTTTTGCCAGAAAGGCGCCCACTACATTAGGCATATCCTATTGTCTTATGTAGGCATGCCATGCATTTCCTACTTTATTATTTTAATGCAGAATTAAAAAAAAAAACTTTTAGTCTAATTCTACGCAGTTTTGCATAAAACGTGGCCAAACAATCCCACCTGCCATTCTATTGAGGTATCACCTGTTCCGCTCATGAGCAGAATGGTTATAATACTGTACGTTGCGAAATAATGTCGACAACCAGGGTCCGTAAGTAGTAAACCAAACGAAATTCGAAGTTACGCCTTTCCCTATGTCGTATTAGAATGACGCGATAGCGCTAGTTTCTATGGGTAAATCCAGCATTTCTCATTAAGTAAGAAACATTAGTTATAAGCATTCTGGAATAGATCTTGGTAAAATAAACATTCTTGTTGCTGATCCTAAGTTGGTTAAAGGCAACCAGCCAGCACCCAAAAAGCAAGTACACAAAAACACACAGTGTCCTCGGCCTGAATAAAGATTGATTTTATTTATTTCACACATTGTATTGAGGATGTTTATTTCTTTACTTAAAATCAACTTTAGTTAAATGCAGTATTAATGCATAATTTAACCTGCCATTATAAAGTGTACCTACCAAATTCTCTTTGTGGGAATCAGTTTAGTCAGAAAATATCACACAACGTATAGGAAGGAGACATTTCTGAGCTATAATTACAGGACGTTATGACCAAATTTTCTGTTCTTTTTCTAATATTTATTGTCCTTTCTTGAACTCTCGTGTTATAAAAGTTTAAAGAATGGCAGTTTAAGCAATTAGAAGTATTCATCACCAGAAAGGAGAGTTTGCCACTGAATACAGATTGTTGTATGAAATAAATGTTGAGCCAAGAGAAAGTATTATTCTGGCCATCGGTCTTTAATCAATGACCAAATGTGTACAATATAGAACTCTCTGCAACTATAGACCCAGGAAGATCATCCAACATCTGTTGTACCCAAAACGACAGATCAGGTTTGTTCCAGAGGATCAGTCTTATATTGTCCTACAACACAGTGATGAACATATTATTAGGTGTCATCTATTTTATCAGTAAAATACAATACTCCCATTGACCTATTCTACACAATGTACAGAGTTAGTGCAATATTTCCGTAGGCAAAGTAGGTTTTACCTAATAGAAAGTAACAACAACAAACACAAAAAACAAAGGGATCTAGAATGAAAACAACTCAATAATTTTTTGACGTGTTTATGTAAAAACTGCATATAATCGGACTAAAGAAACTTAATAAATTCCTAAGTTATTAAAAAAAAAGGTAGAAAACATACAGTGCAACTGCACACTACAGTGTATTATAACTTTGATTTATTTTTTGAATTTAACATATTTTATTATTTATTTTGAGTTGTATGTTATTTTGGTTTCTATCTTCTAGCAAACTGATGGAAATTAAACTTCATCAACTTAATAGTCCAGCTCATAAAGTCTCAAATTGCGTGACCTCGACCACTAGGACTATTTAGAAAACCTTCAAAACATATACTATAACTTATTTTTCCTTCCGCTAATATCCAAGTAAACTATTGATTGATACTATAGTATTAGTTAATAAATATTATTTTCAAATTTTGCTGAAGATAGAACAAGTGTTCCAAAACATTAAAACCTTCTGTAAATAAAAATAGTGTGTTTTGTCAACCATTTTCATTATTAGAATACACCCCCCCCCCCCTCATAAATCCATTGCCAAAGGTGGAAGAAGCATAATGGTTTGGGTCAGTTTTTCATGTTATGGACTATGTTCTGTGATTTCATGCTAAGGATGAGCTTTGATGCAAACTTACAGTAAGGTCATTTACATTTAAAAGCATAACATTAACAATGCAAGTGTGTGAGTGGAATTGGTTTGGGACAACAACAACAATTTAAGTCTGAAGTGACCAGCCCAGAGACTTATAAACCAAATCGAATCATTCTGGGAAATTTTTGGAAAGTCTCAATTGGCCAGAATTGACAGACCATGATCCACTGCTGAAGGGGGGATGGTAAAATATAACATCTAGCTAACAAAATCTGGTCCAAGCTGTGATGTTCAAAAGGTGGACCAACACTCAATTAGAAATGATTCTGAATTAATGGCCTTGCACATTCTATTGCTGTCCCAATTAGTTTGATAATATAATATAATTGCAAAAATATTTTACTAAAACAAATGTATATGTAAAAATTACTGATTATTCTGCTTGTAGCACTGTATTAACTGTTGTGGTGAAATCTGCCCAAAGTGAAAGACACAAGTGTATGTGAAAATGAAAAATATTTATTTAAAATTAATATTGGATGAACAGCAAAGTTTAAAAGCAATATAAATTTTCCCTAAACTTAATAGATGTGTTTATTTATTTTTATTATTTATTCTATGTATTAAAAAAACTCTCAAGACATACATGATGTACTGAAGCAAACAGTCAGAAGTAAAAAAATTAAATGACATCATTGTACCAATATTGGTTGCAAAATGAAAAACAATCCAAGTTCCTACAAACACATTACAACATATCCAACAATAAAGTAAACACTGTTGAGTCGTCACAAGGTTATCAGGTGACTTTAGCACTTAACTAATTAAATGTTGTCTTGCTTCTTCAAAATATTGTTGGTAAAATAACAATTCCAAGGAAGGGGGGGGGGGGGTAGTAAAAAGTAGGGATACATCTGCACTAAACAAATCTTTGTATTCCACAATGAGTTAACAGTTACTAAATTTTATAATGCACAAACTGACATACTGAATCTTCATTAGTGGGATAAAGTGCAAAAAATTAAGTTCAAAATAATAATCATGACTAGATTTATACCTAAAAACACAAAATGTGTAGCAAAGTTACACGTTACAAAAAATTGTATTTCCTGAAAAAATGCAACAAAATTGATGCCCAAACATTTGCTACTTGTCCAACAAATACATTCAGTAACAGAAACAAATAATGAAATAACAGTGATACATTTATTACAATAGGATAACCAACTTGCAAATGGCTTACTCTTAAACTTTCCAATGGTATAGAAAACGAAGATGTATATAAGGACCAAAACAACATATATACCAACATAGAAAATTTTCAGTGGTATATATATATTATAGACATATGTGTATATACATTAATTTTCAACACAGCATTGTGTAAAAAAATATATAGTATATTTTTTTAGTTATGGTATTAAGTGTGCAACAGATATCATCAGCACATTTTCTTACCAGGTTCATTATCAATGAACTAAACAAACAAGAAAAATTGATGTTCAGATTGTTCATACTTTTGCTTCATGTAAACATCATATCCATTTCAAATTATCTGTGATGCTGTACTTTAATGAATGGGTTAAGGTAGTCTAATTCTTTTATTCTATTTATCAGAGATATAAATATGGATATTTTTCTTTGGTCATCTTTAGAATATTACACAGTCTTGGAACTTCTTCCCATAATCTTAAACAGCATCTCAGCTCTAAACGATTTCCTAGATCAGCTTGTTTCATGCCACTGACCATCACTGGCCGTATTTTATAATTTAGACAAGCTTTATTAGCATACTCATTTTGATAATGCTGGAAAATGTAACGGACATGGAGGCTATCTGTGCTTCTTGTCTGGATGTCAACAGGCTCAATTTCCTGCAAATAAGAAGGGCTTACAATAGGAACAATGAAGTCAACATCTTCAAGCAATTTTCTGATGTTACTGTAAGGATCAAAAGCAAGCTCAACATCTAACTCCCTTGCAAAAGTGACGTTAAATTGAAAATTCATCTTATCTTTCAGTTTCATGGCAACTTCTATGTCATCTAAAGTATGAGTGATAAACACTGATGCAAATTTATTACTTAAAGGCCGATATAAAGTTTCACAGATTCTCTCAGGTCCTATGTATACCTGAGAATCAGCTTTTCCACAAGCAATTCTTGGTATTCTTCTTAATTGATCTGACACACTTCCTTCATTATCCCAAAAGTTATACAGAGTGACAGCTACATCCTGTGACATTAGTATTGGACCTCTACTGGTAAAGCTATTTCCCTGATATGGAGCATATGTATACAAGCCATTGATATCAGCTTCTTCACTTCTGCAACTAGAAATGCTTTCTGGCTGGAAAATGGAGCCATTACTCTCACAGCTCAAGTTGGAGATTTCATAGGAGCTTTCACTTGATTCAATGTTAATGCTTTCTTCTCGATACCTTTTTTCTTCGTTAGCATGAAAAACTGTAGTGGAATGGATGTTACGTGTGAAAGTTTTATTGCTGTTTCTGTTACATCTTGAGATGAAGTTGTTTTCAAATTCTTTTCGTTTACTTGTTATGCAACAGTTAGTTCCAAGTAGTAAATCTTTTTCTCTAGCATTACTGCAACAATCATTTCTACTTTCAGTAATTTCTAGATTGTTTCCTTCAAAGCTGTGACTAGCAGAGTAAATAGAACTGTTTGTGCAGCTGAACAAGTCACTTTCTCTCGTTGTATCATTTACTTCACAACAGAGATTGTCCGTAGAAGTTTGCTGTCTGTTGCAGAGAGATGAAGAGAAATATGATGAATCATCTTCAACTGCAAACTGACTATGGTTCAAATTGATGGAATCACTTCTTTCTAAACTTTGTGAATTTGAATGTTTTGCTTGAAGAGTGATTATCTCACCTTGTATTTTACGTAGTATGTCATAACGCTCAATATCTAACAATATTTTTAAGATTTGTCCCAATGTCCCAGAACCTTTTGATAAGTTTGAAACAAAAACAGTGTATAATGGAAATTCATTGGAATTATGTGAACGTTTTTCAATAATTTTAAGTTCTTCCACATTGTCAATGCCAAGCATGCTTGCAATGTCCTTCCAATCATCATCTGATTTTACCTCTACTTCTCTTGCTATTTGTTTAAATATAGCATGAGGTACATGTTCATATTTAATTTTTCCTATCTTTATCAAAGCATCTTTATAAAAAGATACCAATAACTGATTCTCTTCTTGATGTTCTTCTTCCTCATCTCTCAAGGCTTCATTGAGATATTTAATAATATCTGCATTTTTTACAGGAAGCCTCTGATTAATTGTGTAAGGCTCAAAAGAACCCATTCTTCATTTGTGTTAGAATCTGTTCTTGCAAAATCCAAGACTTCTGTTAAAGTCTGAAATAATAAAAAAAACAACTAGTATAAGAATACACATAATTGTTAGTTGTAATTTTCTATTTTTAAAGTTGACAAAATAGGTAAATATTAGCTAAATAGAATCAGGTGCATATAACCAATTCAATTACTACCCCCTATAAATGGCCACTTAAAAGCATATCTCTCAACCAACTTAATCTAGTTCAAACCAAAACAGTTGTTGTTCAAGTGATTGATGATATAAATAGAATCTTGACACTATGTCTTTTATAACCCAGCTAGTCTTATGAGCCCTGGTATTGAGCAAAAGGCTTTGATAACACTAGATATAGCAGATATACTGATGTTCACATATTATTAGATCCTGCTTTACTTTCAGTCTCAAGTTTTTACGAATACATGTTTGCGTTTTACAGTAACTTTATGAAAGTTAAAAAATGATTAAAACAGATAATGCCCTTAATAATTATGTAGGTGTTCATGCTTCTCAAAATAAAATTGACTCAACACCTTTAATATTATCCCTGCCAACGTTCCCATGTGGGAACACGATATATTTTGGCTACTACATGCTTGGCTTTTAGGTTTTGAGAATAATTATTGAAGTCAAGTTACTTTAAATATCTATAAGTAATGTTTCATGGCATTATCAAGTTATCATCAGAATTGCTTAATGCTTGTAGAATTTTAGAAACCTACAAAAATATCAAAATTAAGTTAGGCTCAGTGATTTGCTGATTGGTCTCCTTCTTATAATCTAAAGCAGAACACACTTAGAAATTTTTATGCAATAGTTATAAAAATTTGTTAGTTGTTGTTGATGTGCATAGTATGTATAACATGGGTGGGAAAAAAACTGTTGTAAACTTTAAGTGTTCCCACATTGAACTTAAGGAATTTATGGGCAGAAAGTTTGTATCTGATCAAAACTCATCAGGATTTAAAGGTGAAGTTTTCCCCAAAACAATGAACTAAAATAAACTTGTTATTATAAAAAATGTATCTGCACCTTGCAGACAACCTACAACTCCAACTGAACAATAAGAAAGCAAAGAAGAGTCTGATCAATGCATCTTTCAACAAACCACTTAAGTTCAGTATTTTTCATGATGATTTGAGCTTAAACAAGTTCATGGTACCATACTATGGTCATTACAATGTGCAGATGTTCATTTAAAGTAAGTCTGTCCATTTCTGGTACAAAATTTCATCTCTATGCTTTTCTGCTGAAGTGATGGTTATCCTTATCCTCTAAAAATCTATACTGGTTAAAAAGAAGCCATGCTAGTGAACACAATGATGAATGTAGTCTTGGAAGAATCACAGGTGGACAAACATTAAGTGTTATTTCACAATTTTTATCAAGCTATGCACCTCTCAAAGATTTAAGGCAAAGAAATGTTGTTTCAAGGAGCCATAAAGAAAATCAAATTATTGGTCCACAACAGGTGCTGACACCCATTATCAAACTGAAGAACATAGACCATTATTAGTCAAACTACAGTTGTGATAGGAAGGTATATTATATATATATATATATATATATATATAA